GGGCCCCCCCCAATTTTAGAAAACCTCTACTTCAGAAGGAGATTGCGGCACATGCCGGATGTCACCTGCTTTGCTCACAACTTCACTTAATCTTACATGTTCTTAGTAATTAGGAAATAAGGGAATACAATCCCTATGTAGACCCTGTATACTATTCCCTACCCTAAGCCCTGAACGCTAAACCCTAAACCCTAAATAACCATTAAAACAAAACCTAAACTCTAAACCCTCTCATACTCCCTACTAACAACCAAGAAGTAATCGACCTCCAGGCCGTTGCCCCTGCCAAGCAGCTGTGCTGATAGCCGATATCGGCATATGGGAGTTTCCCAAGGGGGTTCTTTTTGGGGGTCCCGCTAAGAAGGACTATAGTATTTTGGGGTCTTTGGGGTCCCCTTATTGAGGGAAACTACCATTTGTGACCTTCTTGCACAAGAACTTGCTATTATATACTATAGTAGTTTTCCATTATCCCTATATAACCCCAATATGCTATAGTAGTTTCCATTGTGTTCCTTTGAAGCCAAGGTTGCAGCGGCTTGGAGTCATGATTGAGACCAACTCAGAGCGGATTCTGGCCAAAGCCGAGGGTTTTTCAGCGACTTGGACATACAAGATAACAAGTTGGATACAATGGGCCGCACCTCACATCTTAACCTTCAGCTGTCGTGGTGAACTGCAGATGCAACACCAAGGAAGCGGCGGGTGTGGCCACGGACACTTGCCTCAGCAGATTCGGTCTGGAGATGACATAGCCGATGCAACAGAAACCTAAGAGGACCTAACAACTTGCTGCACTTCGATTGCGCGATCTTAAAGTGCTGAGTTGCGGGCACATTGCAAAGTGCAGTTCAAGAATAGGAAATCCTTACGGTATGGCTCCCATAAACAGACTACATAGTTCGTATGTGTGGCTGGCTAGTGTTGAGTTTGAAGTCAACCCAATGTGCTGTGCTTTGGTAAGGATGTTCTCACCAAGCTTCTGGATGAACAGGTCAAGGCTCTCGAAGGACCGGATGGCTTCCCTGCCTCCTCATTCAGAAATTTCTGTGACTGTGCCATTATGCAGCAAGATGGATGGATCTGCAAGACCAGTGCAGCATGGTCTCCATTCCGACAGGTAGCACCTCAGAGGCTGTCAGCCTATACTGGGAGTAGGCAGGTTCATGGCAGTGCAGCTGGACCTCTGGCACTCAGCCCAATCAAGGATGTTGTTTTGTGACAGAAGGGTCTGTGCCAGAGTTCACATGTGCCTTTGCAGGACTCTTCACTGGCACGGGACCTGGGGAGATGGTAGGCTCGCTTGGTCTTCACACTTGACAAAGATAATCCAAACAGTTTGTCAGTAAGCTGGTTCCTCATTGTCATTGTTGCCTCCTTTTTGTTTGGCAGGCCCAGTGGGCATCGTGAAGCAGGGTGAGGACTTGGTGGCAGCAGAGGGTCTGCTGGGCATCTTCATTTTCTTCGTGACCTGGCAATGTTGTTTCCTGGAGTTGAGTGATGTGTGTTTGTTGCATTGATCCGCATGAAAAACTGGGACAGGTGTTATTTGCGCATGTTGTTCGGAAATCATGCAGTCATCTATCTAAGCCGCACATGCCTATTAGCTCCTCACCTTTATTGCCGACCCATTAGCACAAGACATATGCATATCCCTTCAAACTTTGCCAGTCGGGATCATGAGATGAGTTTTGGAGAACATTCATCATTGGACCCCAGCCCTCATTCCAAATCAATCTTGTTTCAGGGAGTTTTTGCTGGAAGTGAGCGAGACTGTGAGACTGAAGACGCGAGAGTTGAATTTAGGGTGTGCCCCCCACGTTTGCCGGGGATTATGTTGTTGGAGACCTGGTGTTGGTGGGGTGGGGGGGGGTCATAAGAATGATCACTTCTAACGTATACATGCAACCCAGCATTCCCACACTGTATTGCTACTCAAGAATATCCACCAAGACCCCTACACGTCCAATTTTTCGCAGGTACAGTTCCATAACCCCAATGTCATGCGGACGCAGTAACAAGTCATGCCAAGCGCAGTAAATTTCGTAAACTTGAAAATGATAGAAGAAGTTGTAAGAGGCATAGATTTTCAGCAAGTGTGTCATGCAGTAGCATGAATATGTATGAGAGCGTATACACTCCGTGTCTTCCAGCTTGGGGTTTGGAAGACGATGGCACCCTTCCCCTTGTTTTGCGGCAGCTCAAGTGTTGACGTGCGCCAGTATGCGGGGAGTGTATACGTTCGCTGCATATGAGCATATTCTTCATATTGCATGACATACTTGCTAAGATTTATACTTTTTTTTTTTTTTTTACAACTTCTTGTAGCATGTCCAAGTTTACCAAATTTATTGCGCTTGCCATGACTTTTGACTGCTTCTGCATGAGTCAAGCTGCATACTGCTGACTTTCAAAAATTACGCCGTTGCGAAACACTGAGAAGAGTGCCATTCGCGCCTTCCAAATTCATTTTGGAAGACGCGGACTCTACTCCTTGTTTTGCATATGCTCATGATTCTGTAAAAGGAATCTGCTAGAGCTTTGCTGTTGCTTCCACTTCCTCCTGTATGCTCGAATTTACTGCGCCTGTCATGATTTTTGATTGCTGAAGCATCATGCTCCGGTACTAGTTGTCCGCCCCCTGAACCACTATGTCGCGGTCAAAAGATCCGCGAAGGAAACAAAACCCGAAACATATGTGGTAAACGCGCCCACCCTGGCAAGGTCACCGTGAACCTGAACCTGGCTCCCGGCTGAGTTGGCGGCTGCCTTCAAGCCAACAAACTGCCGTCTTATCACGTTTTTGCTGTGGCTTAGACCTTCGAGGCTTTCATCAATGCGTTGCCTCTACCTGCGCTGGATGGCGGCAAGGCGCTCTTTGTCCTGGCGGAGCAGGCGCAGCCTCCTGTTCAACGGTTTCTCTTCCGAAAGCGTTTTGCTCGGCAGCTTTGAGTGAGGTGAGCGGTAAGCGCTTGGACGAGGACAAGAAGCAAGATGTTGAGCTTCTGAACTGCACATATGATGCCAACATAATCTAAACTGGAGCCTTGCGTCGTTCCCACAACTGCTTTTCCAGAGCGCCTGTGGCACTGCGAGCAGGGTCAGATGTCAGTTTGCCCAGGTTGGCCTTCCTGCTTCTTGTCTTCCTGGGCTTGGGCAGCGTCACTGTCAAGGACGTGACCCATCTCTTTGAAAGCAAATAAAAGCAACAGGCCAGAGCTCGAGAGTTCTCGTCTTGGGGATCCCAGTAATTCACTGCCTACGTTACAGACATCTGCTTTCTAACGCGTTTCTGGGAGAGCACCGCGAAAACTACAGAGTCGTGGATTGGGAAATGGGACACCAAGATGATGAACAGGTCGCACAATTTTCTTTGAGGATGCGTAAGCCGCATCAGCGTCTAGGCTTCCCAGTGTTTAACTGGAAAGCACAGAGAGCTGTACAATTTCATCTGCACATAGTGCAAACGTCTTCCTTTGAAATTTGACGGTGATGACCTGACGGTGTGCAACTCCAACGTAGGGATGCTCACCGAATAATCTCATGCATCTTTCAGAATTTAAGCTGACGCGTGGCAGCTTTATCAAAAAGGTATTTGCTCCTGCCAAGAGCCAAGCAGACCTGCAGTGCATTTGTAAGGCTCATGGGGCTCTCATGCATGTTGATTATGCCGGTTCTGAAAATGCTTGAGGCAGCTCTCTGGATCTGGCCCTGGGCTTGGCGAGCAACAAGTGATGGCAAAACAACTGGTTGTAGTTAGACGTTGGACAAAGAGCGATTCTAGAGCATCATGCTGAGCAACACACAGTTCAAACTTATCTGTCAACTCATGGAGCCTAAACCCTAAACCCTAAAGCATGCAAAGGGGAATGAACACCGATTGCATTTGCGGACCGCAAGCTGAGGAGCTGTGGAGGCAGCTGAGCTGGTCCACAAAGTTTGGACAGCAGTGCTGGTCAGCATGGCAAAGCCAGACAAAGGAGGTGTAATATGTCCAAACCATCACTGATGGAAGAATGTAGGTCCATCAACCGAGTTCCTACGCTTCTTCGAGGTAAGATCTGCGCATGGAAGAAAATGAGTGTCCTGCAATTTATGCCAGGGCCCACGTGCAGTTCATTCTGTCGCCTCATAGCTGAAAACGAATCCACAAGGTTGAAGCAAACTAAACGCCATGTGCATTAGCAGGCTTGCACAAAGCCTTTGAATTATCCTCGTGTCAGGGCTTCCAGAGTCATCTGCAAAAACTGCAGAAGAGCTTCGATGACGCCGAGTCTCAAGGTAAGAAGCTGCCTTCTCCTTGGATGGTCTTGCACCATAATATTTGCTCAAGATTCTGAAGACGCTCGGGTCTGCATGGGTTCGGTGGTTCTTGCAGTGCGTTCCGCAAGTTGGCTTCAGGGCTCGTGCCGCACAAAGGGATTTCAGCAACCCACTGCAACAAAGATCCTGTGATTCAGGCACATGCTTGCAGCTTCAGACTGCTTATGCCTGCCGCAAAGGTCAGAGAAGCTGAAGGCGGCTGAGGAGCGGTCAACCGCGGCCCAGACTGAGGCCTTCGTGTTCACTTCGGCGAATTCAAAAAACGTCTGCGAGCTGCATATTTTGGACCACTCAGAGTCCCAGGCGCGGCAGCAGCTCAAACAGCTGAAGAAGAGCGAGGAAGAGTGCTGCTTGGTACGAAGCGTGGACAGCATCCCTTGATATGCAGTGAGTCCTCCGAAACTTGTAGACCCTTTCTTCCAACTGTCAAGGTCAAAAGCTGACAACCAAGCTCGACAAGGAGCTGCTGCCTCATCGTCTTTTTCCTGATGCTGATTCCAAAGATTGCGCCCATAGGATCCAATAGGCAAGGTGAAGGACAGCTTTGTCCCAGACTCCCCACCTTCGCAGCACCTAAATGCACAGCCCTTTTGCAGCCGCCGTCAGAGTACCATGCGATCCGCGATGTTGGCAATCCCTTGCGAAGGTCGGCAAAGGTGGCCGAGCTCAAGCAGAACATGGACCAAGCTGCAGCCTCAATTCCGAACTCGTTGGATGATACTGTGCAGGAACGTGATTCTAAAGGAGGGAAAGCAGCATCCCGTACTTGCCCTAGTTCCTTCCAAGGTTATCAAGGATGCCAAGGATCGGGATGAGGCCCGACCCCCCAGAAGCATTAAATGACATGCCACGGGATGTGGCTGTCGCGTCTTCCGGCAGATTTGAGGCTCGCATGCGTGAGATCAAGAAGCTTCGCGACAAGTCGGAGAACGAGTTGAAGAACTTGAGGGAGAAGTCAGACACATCTTCGAAGGACCTGACAGACTCAGACCTTCAGTTGGATGGGCCATTTCAGATGTGCGGTAGGCAACATTCATGATATTTTGTGCGGGTTGACATGCAGGACGCAGAGGCGCTGCGCCAGCGCCAGCTGGAAGAGGTGCAGTCTTGCAGATGAGAGCTGGCAAAGGTGTTGCAGCACAGCTCCTCCCCTAGACCCTGGCAGGCCTCAATGGAGCTGAAGGAACTCCACAGCGAGACAGCCCAGCAGAAGGAGGCAAAACTTGCAGGTGTGTAAGGCATCATGTACCGGCATGCAGAACTTTGGGCATCTCATTGCGAGCTCCCACTAGCCAGATGCTGTCAGAGCTCGTTCGGGAGAGCTCCGCTCTCAGCTCCGCTGAAGGACATAGCGAGGACGTGTCAGAGAAACCCTAGGGCAGTTCGTTCCATACAAGCGGCATACTTGTAGTACAGAGATGGAGCCCTTCTTGGTTCTGCACATAAAATCCTCCTGCTCTAATCCGTGGAGCTTCGCTTGGACCTCGCTAGATGCCAAAGTGTGTAGAACTGTCTCCATGGTTAACGCAATCTCAAGGCTCTGCTGAAGCAGCTCAGCTCAGGCGCGGTGTAGCCGTAGCCATGGCCGCTGTCGCTTACATAGGGGTTAAATAGGGGTTATACAGGGATTATTGGGTATATATTAGGGTTATAATGGAAAAGCAAATGGAAGTTACTATTTAGGAAGTTACTATTTAGGGTTCAGGGTGCAGGCCCATGATTGAAATCGCTCGGGGACTGGCTGGTTGAAAGCTAAGCCCCTGTGAAGGGAGCGCCTGGGCGCAGTGGAGGCTGCTGCTGAAGCAGAACGCCTGAATGCAGAGGAGCGACAGACAGAGCTCTTTGACAGCAACTTTGGTATGATGGGTTTTCATTCGAATTTGCATAGGGTGACGGTCCGTGCCTCCCTCCAGACTTAATGCGAAGGCTGCTGCGACGCGTCTTAATGTAGGGCTGGTTGGGCTGCTGCTCTTGCAAGTGCTAGCTTAAAGCCGCTCCCTGAGTGAAGCCGCGAAGCTCAATTGCTTCTCAGAGGCAGCAATTTCATAGATTGCTGCTGAGGCTTGAGGCTGGCGCTAGCCCGGTCCTCAAGCTCAACGGAACCTGGCTGCTGAGAAGACATTGTATGACTTAGCAGTATAGTATTTGGCGCGAATGTCCGCAAAATGAAAGGTTGTTCCCAGCCTGCAGGCATCACGGCTTTTTCAGATTACCCTTACCCCACCTCGCACCATCGGTTGCCAGTGCGTGCATTGTGTCGACCGTCAGTGTTTGCTCACGCCCGAGAGAGCACGAGGGCTGCCGCACATGCCTGTACATGCATACTGCGACCATACCTGCACCTAGTCGTGTCGCTGTCAAATTGTTCAATGGTTCACGATCTCAGGCCGGAATCGCCAAGAGTTGCGCGCAGCAACTGAGCGGGGTCGGCGAGCAGAACGAGCTGCTGATGCTGCAATAGCTTCCATTCCGTGTGGACATGTTGCTCCAATCACTGAAACTTCAGCTGTGTCGGCTGAGGAACTAGAGCAAGCCCATGCAGAGTGCCAGGAGCCCTTGCCAGCTTGCTGCAGCAGAGCCGGTGTTTTTTTGACTACCGGGCCACTTTATTCAGGATCGTGAAAGGCAAAGTACTTGCAGGGTCAGGGGGACTTAGTAAGTAGGTTAATAATTGGGATAATTAGGGTTGATATATGGGTTATAGGGGTTCTTAACCTACTTACTAAGTCCCCCTGACCCTCCAAGTAATGAACCCAATCGAACCCCGAAGCAGGAGCTGCTAAGCAGCGCCACACGGCGCGATGACCGCGTGGAGGCACAGACCTGGGAAGCTGCCTCCGACTTCACCTCAAACTTTCCAACCATACAACACTTTAGGGTTTAGGGTTTACTGGTTGTTTTTAGGGAATAACTAATAAGGAAACATAATCACTATATGATATTGTATTCCCGTATTCCCTAACCTACACCCTGTGCAACTTCCCAAATTCCCTACTGCTGGGCAGTTTAAAGCGACCTCACGCGACCTCACCCTAAATGTTGGTTTATATAGGGAATAGTACTAAGATGGCTTCAAATTGGGAGTTGAAATTATTCTAAATTACCTTGCTACTGCGACCTAAACCCTCAACCCTAAACCCAGTGTTGGCGGCCCGGGCTCCCTCAGCCTGTTTTGCGCAAGACTGGGAGGATTTGGCAGAAAGACTTGTGCAACCCTTATACCTTAGGTGGACCCTCCACCCAGTAATAGTGACTATAAGGGATAATAGGGATTATATTAGGGTCCTCTGATATTCTTATTATACCACTATTACAGGGTGGGGGGTCCTCCTAATTTATACCAATTAATTGTCTTACTGAGGGTTATAGTACATAGGGGTTATAAAGGGATATAAAGGTTTAGGGTCAAGGGTCTCGGGTTTAGGGTAGGGAATTAGGGATTATAGAATATAGAGATTATACAGAGATTATATTCCGCTATTCCCTACAAAGAACTAGAAAGTTGTTCCAAATTGCCAAAGCATTTGCCAAAGCTGTTCGCACATACAAGCCAAGAAGTGTGTCCTAAACCCTAAACCCTAAGCCCTGGCAGGTTGCGCAAGCCCTGCTGGAAAGCCGAGTCCGAAGTTTGCAGGCACACCTCGGGCTTCCTCGGACCCAGAGCTCCAGAAAGGATCCAAAAAATGGGGTTTAGAGTTTTAGGGTTTAGGGTTTAGGGTTAAAGGATCCAAACAATGGCCCCCCTCCCCCAATATGAACCCATTACTACACTGAGGTAACTGGAAGAAAATTAGGGGGCGCCAGTTTTGGGATCCTTTAGGGGGTCTGGGGAGATGCCTGGGTAGGTTTCAGCGGGATATAGTAGGACAAATACAAGCAGAACCTATAAACATGGATGCCGCAAACTCTACTTATCACGACCCATCCTCCAGGTGGATTTAGGGTTTATGGTTTAGGATTTAGGGTTTAGGGTTTAGGGTTTGTGTTTCCGAGGAACAAGTCGAGGCCCTTCGTGCCGAACTGGAGGCGCCGCTTGCATCTTCAAAGAATATGATAGTAGCTTCCATTTTCCTTTCCATTATCCTTATATAATCCCAATAATCCCTATAGTTTCCATTTTATTTTCCATTATCCCAATACAACCTGGTGTCATGTTGAGAGAACGCAGTTGGTCTGTGATACGGGCAGCCGGCCTTCTAAGATACTATACTATATTAATATTTAATATAATGTATCCTAGAAATAAGCTATTAAGATAAGTAAATATTGTAATCTAATAAAGTATAATGCAATACAGAAGTAATTTATATATATGTATATATTATCACATATAACGGAATCTTTGCTCAGGAAGCGAAGGCATCGGAGTCGCTACAGCAGCAAGCGGCCCAGGCAGCAGAGGCCCCGCCCAGTCTTTCAACTGGGGTTATAATTATATCGGGGATTACATTGGGCTTAGGGTTCAGGGTTATGTTTGGAGTTATGTTGGGGTTAGATTGGGGACTGCATTGTTTTTTTGGGGTTATGTTGGGGGGGATTATATTGGGGATTATCTTGGGTTATCTTGGTATTATTTTGGGGCTACGTTGGGGTTATATTGGGATTATTTTGGGATTTTGGGATTATATTGAGCCCTGCCTAGAGAAAGACATGCGAAAGACTTATCTTTGGTTAGCTGGAATAAGGAGTGGAAAGAACATGTAAGAAGAAGCATCTCGCTCCAACACGTTGCGCCCAGAGTGTGTAGTAGAGCCTGACAAATATAGGCATTCAGCAAGCAGGCGCGGTGCGAAGATCTCTCCAGCATCAACCAGGCAAAGGAGCAGGACTCCTGTCGTTATCTCACCACTGCAGAGACCAGCTTCCTTAGGCTGAAGCGGGCCTGCATCATACTCTAGATTCTGTCATTTTTTTCTGTGAGCCGATTGCTCTCTAGCAGGTCCTCCACAGCACCGCAGCCATATGCCAAGCAGGAACAGGAGTGAGAGCCTTGCCCAAATTGCAACCCTCAGTAGTAGTTTCCATTTTCTTTTCCATTTTCCCATTATAACCCCTATAGAATCCCTATTATAATATAGTGCCTCAAGTCATCTTCAGCGAACCATCTTGGAGCTCTTCAGTCAAGGGTTTAGGGTTTAGGGTTTAGGTAAGGAAAACAAAGGATAGCTCAGAATCGCATCTGCCGATGGTGCAAGAGATCATGGAGTTATCCTCCGCGAGGGTCCGGGACTCAAAGTTTGTAAGCTGCCTACCCTAAACTCTAAATAGTAGTTTCCATTTTCTTTGCCAGTATCCCTATATAATCACAACATAACCCTAATATAACCCTAACGTGGTTCTTTTTTTTTGCGACAGCCGTGAAGTTTGTCGTTGTGGGGCTCCCAGACCCCCTAAAGGATCCAAAAATGGAACCCCCCTAATCATCCCCTGGTTACCCCAATGTAGTAATGGGTTCATATTGGGCTGTTCCATTTCTTGGATTCTTTCGGGGGTTTGGGTTTTGGTCAAAAGCAACAATCATCTACATCTGCGCAAGCAGCCTTTACACTTTTGGCACAGTACATATGAGCCATTCGTCTAAACTCCTGGAGGGGGGTTATACAAGGGTCTACATAGGGGACTACTACAGGGCTTATCTTCTATATGGGAGGATGATGTTGATGTTGTATGCCACTCTGGCGTACAGAGATTGCCGCCAAGAAAGGTATGCCTGGCATACATTCTAGGTGAATGGCAGGAATGAATTCCAGGATGCCAACTTACTGGGTCTTAGCCTGGGAATAAGGGAATGCAATCCCTATATAATCATTAGAAAAAAATTCCCATATTCCCCACTAACGCAAGGATACTAAGCTCAGACACCTGTGGCCAGACCCTTTAATTAATGGACAAGGTATCTGGGACGTAGACGTCCTGCAGTATCTTAAACATGTCAACCCCCTTCTGCTACGCAAAGCCATACACACCTGTGCAGCCCTACGAAGCATTGTTGTACACAAGAGGGCGGTTATCGTGTTTCTCTTTTGTTGTTATTATCCTGCCCGCGGTAGCATTGATTTCAGACCTGCTTGGTGTTGAGGTTTGTGCCATACACGTGGCAAGGCCGCGCTGGCCGCAACGTCGCCCGTTCATGTTGGTTCTCTCTGCCCAACAGGAAATTGTTCATAGGGGCTTCCAAAAGGACCAATCATTTTGAGACGAGAGGTTTCCATCTTGTTTTCCATGTCATGTTCTTTC